GCTATATAAGTCTGGCCCTAACACTGTCTCCTCCTAACTACCCTACCACCACCACCACGTTGATGTGATCTGCCACGTTATCATCTGTCTGTGATGCATTTAGGAAAGACTTGGGTAAATACTGGTTCAGTAACAGGGTTGTTGATTTGTGGAACCAATTACCGCGTAACGTGGTGGAGGTGGGGTCCCCTCGATTGTTTTAAGCGCGGGTTGGACATGTATATGAGTGGGATTGGGTGGTTATAGTTAGGAGCTGCCTCGTATGGGCCAATAGGCCTTCTGCAGTTGCCTTTGTTCTTATGTTCTTATGCTACGGAAATAGTTGGCACCACAATGGGTCATTACCGTTTTTCCATTCACAATTTTTCATACGGCTGATCATATTGCATTTTATTGATTATATTGCGATAATATTCATAATATTATTTCGGACTACTGGCCTGTGTCTTGAGCATTGGTTTGTCCATTCTAGTATTTTACCAGTAATCTCATGAGCTTTTATCTTCGGAATCTTTCGCGTGGAGCTTGTTGAGTAGTTGTAGAGGTCCACCTACACTACACACTACATACACACACATGCGCACACACACACACACATGCACTTCTTTCTTGAAATGTGACCACCTTTGGCTGTTATTTTCTTTACAACGCTATTATTTTGGCTATTATTTTCTTGTTTTGTGGTGAGGCATTTTGCCATGGTATGTAGCTTTTGCCATGGTATGTAGCTTTTGCCATGGTATGTAGCTTTTGCCATGGTATGTAGCTTTTGCCATGGTATGTAGCTTTTGCCATGGTATGTAGCTTTTGCCATGGTATGTAGCTTTTGCCATGGTATGTAGCTTTTGCCATGGTATGTAGCTTTTGCCATGGTATGTAGCTTTTGGTATGGTATGTAGCTTTTGCCATGGTATGTAGCTTTTGCCATGGTATGTAGCTTTTGCCATGGTATGTAGCTTTTGCCATGGTATGTAGCTTTTGCCATGGTATGTAGCTTTTGCCATGGTATGTAGCTTTTGCCATGGTATGTAGCTTTTGCCATGGTATGTAGCTTTTGCCATGGTATGGTGGCCAGTTTCTTCTCTCACGATTTAAATATCTTTTTGCTTGTTATTACCAAGCTTAGGAACACCAATTAAGCTTGTGCTGCTCCCGTATAGTCTACACGAGGAGCTGTAGACTGAGTAGAGTAGAGCTGAAGAGTACAGGTCTAGAGCTGTACTCTACAGATCTAGAGCTGTAGAGTACAGGTCAAGAGTTGTCTATAAGCTGACCTGTAATGTTTCCATCTCGCATGATGGCTGATCATGCGTGGTCTGTGGGTCCAGTCTACTATAGTCCGTCCTCTCACCTAATGTGTCGCATTTTTTATGAAATCATCCAATCCGTTAGAAAATGCTACGTATTAACACGAATTAGAGCACCGTAATATTGACGTTATCTGAGCATCTGCCTAGATAGGTTAGGTGGGTTGCTTGGGTTCATATATTTCTGGTTAGTCAAAACAGTTACATTGCTTAATTACAAATGACAATATATTCTAAGTTAAAGATTATTTTGATATAAAATTTGAGCGTAAATTTGCTAAATGAAACTTTCATTGGGATAATCTAAAGGGAAATTAAGAACTCTAAATAGTAAAGTTTAAATTAGGGCGGTTGTGGAGGTACTGGTAGTTAGCCATGTCATCTGACCAGTCACTGCTGCCTGGATGGCCCACCTGGGCAGGTGTTGGATGGTGAGCCAGTCACACTACTGCCGGGCTGGCCCACCTGGGCAGGTGTTGGATGGTGGGCCAGTCACACTACTGCCGGGCTGGCCCACCTGGGCAGGTGTTGGATGGTGGGCCAGTCACACTACTGCCGGGCTGGCCCACCTGGGCAGGTGTTGGGAGGTGGGTATTGTCCACGCATCACTGGCCTTGCTCCTCCCTCACCTTGGCAATCGTTTGGGTTTCGATTGAAGGTGTGTAGTGTCCACTGGCTAGCGTCTATATTGCTCGAAATGCTTTGCGTATTTGTGGCATCATACAATATATATATATATATATATATATATATATATATATATATATATATATATATATATATATATATATATATATATATATATATATATATATATATATCAAATGTAGAACGTAGGTCAACAAGTATTTTTTTCGGCAAATGTTATAATATTCCTAAAATTGATAATTTAGTTCGACAATCATTGGTACATGATAGAAGTCGGAGGTTGAAATTATGGCTTTGTGTTCACTTCTAAAAGGTTTGTTCCCTGTGGTGAGGTGATCGCCTGCGTTTGACCTTTCATGTTGTCAGCGATTTTGGCCAGGTTCGAGCCCTGAATTGACTGGGCATCAGTTCCTAACTGTTCATCCCAGTTCACCCAGCAGCAAGACCAGATCTAAATGTTAAGAACTTGACGGGTTTTGTTCCTAATGAAACTAGTAGTATTCTCCTGTACCCTATTGCGTAAAAGATATTTTAGGGTACCCTGAAATGTGATAGAGAAAACGGAAGCGGCCTCCTGTATTTAGTTCAAACTTCTAGAGGGAAGACTAACATATATATAGCAATGCTACCCTATTTTCTTCTGTACTCACCAAGTTGTGCTTGCGGGGGTTGAGCTCTGACTCTTTGGTCCCGCCTCTCAACCGTCAGTCAACTGGTGTACAGGTTCCTGTACACCAGTTGATATGATAGAGATATGATAGATACACCAAATGTGTATAGAGATATGATAGATACACCAAATGTTGATATGATAGAGCCTACTGGGCTCTATCATATCAACATTTGAAACTGTGTATGGAGTCAGCCTCCGCCACATCACTGCCTAATGCATATCACCTGTTAACTACTCTGACACTGAAAAAAATCTTTCTAATGTCTCTGTGGCTCATCTAGGTACTAAGTTTCCAAATTTGGGTACAAAGTATTGTGGTGTATTGAGGTGTGTATTGTAGTGAGGACACGACGTATAGATACATTCCCGTTAAGCTATTAACAGTCCTAGTATTTTGTGCAAGTATTAAAGCAAAAAAAATTCTTGAGGTATATATTGTGAAAATAAAGTCACTTATAAACACAGTTAATATAATATATTATTTATTAGAGTTAGACACTGGCTTCATTTTCGTTATATTTTGACATTTTTACAGCAAAATAAGGACTTCCCGTGGGCGAGGTTTTCATGGGCGAGGCTTCTATGGGTGAGGCTAAAGCTTGTCTAAAGAACAATTAAACGGCCGAAACTGCGATTAAACTGCCTGAAACGCTGCGCGTGCTAGTGGCTTTACAAGAATGTTAACACCGTGCTGTGTATCCTCACAAACCCAATGTACCTTCTTGTATATAAATAAATAAATAAATAAATAAATAAATAAATAAATAAATAAATAAATAAATAAATAAATAAATAAATAAATAAATAAATAATAAATTACAATTAAACATTCCATGAATTAGCCTTTGTGAGGGTGGCGAATACTGGCTACGTTGGTCTCCCCTGGAACACGCTACGTTACTGGTTGGTCCTCTGTCTGAAGCAAGACGAGGGAGCGTGACGCCTGAGGAAAGTACATATCACTTTATGTCGTGTCTTATGTTTAAATACACATATTTTGACCTAATTTAACCGGTAGGACGCTCTGGGGGTGTTTCACACCACCAGCACTTAGGGTAGGAAGCTCTAGTTCTTGGCCCCCGGTAAGGTCCTTTCTTAACGAATATCTATGTTCCAACTTTCATGAAATAGTCGACCCACTTCAAACTTTCCTCTCTAAACTTTCTGACTTAATGACATATACGTAAATATGAGAGCTCTCAACAGCAATTGTTTATAGTCCACTGGCATAATGTGTCCGACTTGGGTACATACGAGACTGTAGTGATAAGAGACAGGGACCGCCACAAGTTCTGCAGTTTCATATACTTTTTTGTTCGAAAGTGTCCGCAGAGTAGGTGGGGCGGGGGAGGGAGGGGGGGGTGGGGATTGCACAAGGGGGGGTACGGAGCCCCAGGAGCACACCACTCCCCCAGGGGTGACGAGGGCCTCCAGGCAACTGTCAATGTTGACCCTCTTGACTACGACGCAGAATTAAGATATTGATTGCCAGGAGGAGGGCGTGACGCCCCCCCTGTGTCACGGTGATAAGATAACGACGGCGGGTGGCCTCCAGGACCGCGTGTTGACTGGTAAACACACCAACACAGCCGGATAACCACAGTAAACAATGCGTGAATATTATAAGTATATGCAGTCATTTGCCCTAATACACAATTCTTCAGCCTTTGCCCCAAGTGGCTCATTTATATACGGGTCTCGGTTCTGTGGGTGAAGCTACTGGTGTAAGGGCAGTACTGGGCAGTGCCACTCCTATAGGGGAACCTACTGGTGTAAGGACAGTACTGGGTAGTGCCGCTCCTGTGGGTGAACCTATCGTCATAAGGACAGTGATAGGGAGTCCTCTCACTCCGTATATGATGATAGATTCATCACAATGATAGGGGGGATACCGTCCCCTGGGGTACACGAGGGTACCGTCCCTCGGGGTACACCAGGGTACCGTCCCCCGAGGTACACCAGGGTACCGTTACCCGGGGAACACCGGGGTACCGTCCACCTGGGTACACGAGGGTACCATCCCCCGGGGTACACCATGGTACCGTCCACCCGGGGTACACCAGGGTACCATCCCCCGGGGTACACCAGGGTATCGTCCCCCCGGGGCACACCAGGGTACCGTCCCCCGGGGTACACCAAGGTACCATCCCCCGGGGTACACCATGGTACCGTCCCCCGGGGTACACCTAGTAGTGATATATTTACACACCCACAAGAGCCAATTCTTCTGGGTCAGAGTTTATCCTCTCCGCTTCCTCTTCCCTTGTATCATACACCTGTCGCTATGTCCCAGGATCAATTTCCCCGCGGCCCGGTTTCTGAACGGCCTCCTGGTTGGTGGTCTGGTCAACCAGGTTGTTCGACGCGGCTCTTTAGGCTTGGTCTTTGCTGTGGAGCTTAGATATGGAGCATGTGAGCATTACTGCTGGTGCTCGTGGAACGTTGTTTGTGCTCGTGGAACGTTGTTTGTGCTCGTGGAACGTTGTTTGTGCTCTTGGAACGATGTTTGTGCTCGTGGAACGTTGTTTTTTGCTCGTGGAACGTTGTTTGTGCTCGTGGAACGTTGTTTGTGCTCGTGGAACGTTGTTTGTGCTCGTGGAACGTTGTTTGTTCTCGTGGAACGTTGTTTGTGCTCGTGGAACGATGTTTGTGCTCGTGGAACGTTGTTTTTTGCTCGTGGAACGTTGTTTGTGCTCGTGGAACGTTGTTTGTGCTCGCGGAACGTTGCTTGTGCTCGCGGAACGTTGCTTGTGCTCGTGGAACGTTGTTTGTGCTCGTGGAACGTTGTTTGTGCTCGTGGAACGTTGTTTGTGCTCGTGGAACGTTATTTGTGCTCGTGGAACGTTGTTTGTGCTCGTGGAACGTTGTTTGTGCTCGTGGAACGTTGTTTGTGCTCGTGGAACGATGTTTGTGCTCGTGGAACGTTGTTTTTTGCTCGTGGAACGTTGTTTGTGCTCGTGGAACGTTGTTTGTGCTCGCGGAACGTTGCTTGTGCTCGCGGAACGTTGCTTGTGCTCGTGGAACGTTGCTTGTGCTCGTGGAACGTTGTTTGTGCTCGTGGAACGTTGTTTTTTGCTTGTGGAACGTTGTTTGTGCCCATGGAACGTTGTTTGTGCTCGCGGAACGTTGTTTGTGCTCGTGGAACATTGTTTGTGCTCGTGGAACATTGTTTGTGCTCGTGGAATGTTGTTTGTGCTCGTGGAACGTTGCTTGTGCTCGTGGAACGCTGTTTGTGCTCGTGGAACATTGTTTATGCTCGTAGAGCGTTGTTTGTGCTCGTGGAACGTTGTTTGTGCTCGTGGAACGTTGTTTGTGCTCGTGGAACGTTGTTTGTGCTCGTGGAACGTTGTTTTTTGCTCGTGGAACGTTGTTTGTGCTCGTGGAACGTTGTTTTTTGCTCGTGGAACGTTGTTTGTGCTCGTGGAACGTTGTTGTGCTCGTGGAACATTTTTGGTGCACGTGATTCGTTGATGATGCCCATATAACATTATTTATAAATGTAGAATATTGTTAATGTGCGCGGAACATTGGAAGGTTTCGTGGAGCTTTGTTGGAGCTCGCGGAACGTTGGTTAATATTCGAGCAACGTTGTTGTTACTCGTGGAATTCAAGCTATAAAGATTGTGTTGTGATGTTTACACAGCTGTACCTAGTGTCCCTCCGTGTGGTGCGTCTACTGTTAGGACACTCGACTGTAACACAAGTTATGTGAAGGAGCGGCCAGACTTGGCCGTGACGTATCTTGGTGCAAGCAACAATGTATATCTGCTTATATTTGTATCCGAGTGTGAACGATATCATATGCATAGTGGTTGCCAGCCGGCGGGCTGTGTAGCAACGCCACCACCTGCCTGTACAAGAGGCAAGTTCCAGCTGGTTGTTGGTGTACGTGGCTTGTCTGCCTATCAGATTTCAGGGAGTGAAATGTTGTGATTATTGTTGTGTGTATGTGTGTGTTTGTGTGTTTGTGTTGTGTTGGTTGAGTTGTCAGAGGGGAGAGGAGAATGGCCTAACGTCCTCTGTCCCCGTTTTCAAATTGAACCATGCGTTTGTGATTATTTTTGGTAGGGTGTTGCGTTTTTGCCAGGAATTCTACCATTGTTGGCTGGGTTGGGACTGCCGGCCCCCGGCTTCACGCTCCCGGGCTACCGCTCCGACGTTCCAACACCAGCACCGCATACCTCCTCATCCTCCTCCTCCTTCTGCGACTTCTGCTGCCACAACAACAAGGTTTCCTGGGAACCGTAGCGTCAGCAAGCCATCTAACACTGGCGGCAATCTCTTGAGGGTTTTCGTTTGCATTTTTTTCATAGAAAAGCTTTTGCCAAAGAGCCGCGAGCGATGCTGTAAGGCGGGGAAGTGACCACGTGTGTGAGGGTAGGCGTCGTCGTAGTCATCGGTGGGCGATAGTGAGGCAGGCCGGCGAGGCGAGGCTCTCTCCAGCCCCCCGAGGGAAGGAACAGAGGGTGGCGGTGGAGACAAAGGTCTCTTGCCGGGTTTTACAGTGAGGTGTGAGCTCCAGGGACGCCAGTTGTGTCCACCCGGCTCCCAGGCCTCTCTAGTTCCCCCCGCACGCTTCTCATAGGGAGAATTGGAATCCTTTTGACACCCTCCTCAGTCACATACCTGAAGGACAGTGAATCGGTGAATGGAAAAAATCCAGTTTGTAGAGTGTTGTTTACGATCCGCGGCCAGACTCGTCTGAGGTAGTACTGTGCTCCCTGGAATACATTTTGTGATTTAGAAGAAATTGTAGAGGCCGACGCCCGCGTCCAAGACGTACACCCCGGAGGACGGCCGCCGACGCCCCACCAAGACGATCCGGGAGATTTAATCCGTCACCAAGATGCCGGCGCAAAAATTCCGGGCCCGAATAAAAGGAGCAAAGTATAACCCGGAAACAGACCCGGCGATGAAGGACGAATTCGGCGAATACTTCACCAAGGCAGCATCGGAGGAGGAAGGTACGTTGTGTCATCTGACTGGTTGTCATGTGACAGGTTGTGTCATCTGACTGGTTGTGTCATGTGACTGGTTGTGTCATGTGACGGCTTGTGTCATGTGACTGGTTGTGTCATGTGATTAGGTTGTGTCATGTGACTGGTTGTGTTATGTGACAGGTTATGTCATGTGACTGGTTGTGTCATGTGTGACAGGTTGTGTCATGTGACTGGTTGTGTCATGTGACAGGTTGTGTCATGTGTGACAGGTTGTGTCATGTGACTGGTTGTGTCATGTGACAGGTTGTGTCATGTGACAGCTTGTGTTATGTAACTGCTTGTGTCATGTGACAGGTTGTGTCATGTGACAGCTTGTGTCATGTAACTGCTTGTGTCATGTGACAGGTTGTGTCATGTAACTGCTTGTGTCATGTGACAGTAACACCGTGTGTCACGAGTTGGTGGTTGGGGGGGGGGGTAATCCTCTTAACAAGTACTTTGTTATGGTTAAGACATTGTATCCTTCATGGGGCTCGTTAACGGTGGCAGTTTTGATGGTGTTAATGGTTGTGAGTGAAGGGGAAAGTGGGTTGTTAAGGTCACTATAATAGCACATCAACCAGCAAGTTTACCCTAGTCATGAATATGGTCCTGGACTAGACTGTACCAAATAACGTACACAATAAGGTACATATTCCTTGTTCGTGATGATGTAATTACTTTAGCAAAACTGGAAGGCAGTTATTTTTTGCCCTTAAACAGTATTGTGATTTGTGAAATATAGGGGTGGATTCATGAACAGTCTTTGGTGCTTGAAGCATTCTTTTTCACAATTACACACTAAAAAGACATATATTTTTGGATGGTAATTACAATGATATGTTATAGGATAACTTTGTGCCTTTGGTGAAGTTGGAGGACGAGGCCAGAAAAGATGGCATTTGACAGGGGCAACACCCTCATACTTCATCAATACCTTCGTCAGCAGGTGTTGTTTTCCAGGGATATTCCTGAGTGGGCCCCAAGCCTCTAGCTGGCCCACAGAGTGTTACTAATTTCTGTCTTACTTGGGCGGTGGAGTAGTATTTGTGACTCGTATATTGGCCTCAGGAAGATTATATCCAATATGTAACAACTTGTTGACCAGACCACACACTAGAAATTGAAGGGACGACGACGTTTCGGTCCGTCCTGGACCATTCTCAAGTCGATTGTGCATACTTCAGCCACGTTATTGTGACTCATCGCCTGCATATGTAACAACTTGTTTTGCCCTGTTAAATCTCAGTGGAAATCTTGGTTGCTATTGTTGAGCACTCGACCAGGTTTCAACAGTCAAAGGCAACACTATAGATACAGGTTTCAGTTAATAGTACAGAGGTTTTAATTCTTTAAAAAGTCAATCGTTGCTAATCTTGTGGTGAATATAATACTCTGCGATGTGACAATAATTTAGACCAAAAAACAGAACTTACATAACATGATGGGAACTGATGTTATATAACTGATACATGATGCTTTTTTATAGAAAGGTAAAGCTTTGGTAAAGTATTTTGTTTGTACAATGGCTGTGTTTTGTGGTGGGTGAGGGTGTCTAGGCGGAGTGCTCCAGGAGGTAGGAGGAATGTGCACCTGGGAGGGCAGGCGGACTGTTTTAGTCCCCCCTCCACCAGCACCGCGGCCGCCGGCCTCCGCTCCCGTTCTCCTACTGAGATCGGATCTATTTTTGCCAACATGCTATTATTTGATGCAGCGACTAGATTGAGTTCGCAAACATTTCAACGCTATGTCACCGTTGTTAAACTGTTATGAGAGAGTATGGAGCAGCTAGTTGTTCTAATGTAATGTTCTTATATAAACAGTTTTTGCGCGGGAGTGTATATACTCACCTAGTAGGTATGCTGGGGTGGGGGGGGGGGGCTTCGATTCTCTGGGCCCGTCTCTCAACTATCAGTCTATACCGTCTCTCATCTATCAACCTATACCGTTGATAGGTTAAGTAATAATTGTAAATAAGAAGCAATAAGATGCTTATCTTAACATACTAAGAAGGTTAGGTGAGGTCGGTGTTTTCTATGAAGCTTTTCAAGGTAAACTAAAATATTCACAATCAATTAGTATGTCACATATGCACTTATTAAATAAGTCAATATTGACTGTAATCAAGTGCGAGAACGGGTTGCAATCTCAACTGGTGTACAGGTGCCTGAGCCTATTGGACTCTGTACTTATGTATCAGTGGCTACGGGGGAGTGAGGCCTAGATGCCCCGCCTTTTAGCCTTGTTGTACCTGTTGCGTCAAAGCTTCACTATTCTAACGTTCAATATCACTGGCGATCTTGTCCTTAAAGTTGTGATGGAGGTGGCTTCCTCAACTTGTTCTTTAGGTTCATGTCACGTGTTGGGTGACAGGGTAACAGGGTATACAGGGTAGGGTATACAGGAATACAGGGTAACAGGGTATACAGGGTAGGGTATACAGGAATACAGGGTAACAGGGTATACAGGGTAGGGTATACAGGAATACAGGGTAACAGGGTATACAGGGTAGGGTATACAGGAATACAGGGTAACAGAGGGTATACAGGAATACAGGGTAACAGGGTATACAGGGTAGGGTATACAGGAATACAGGGTAACAGGGTATACAGGGTAGGGTATACAGGAATACAGGGTAACAGGGTATACAGGGTAGGGTATACAGGAATACAGGGTAACAGGGTATACAGGGTAGGGTATACAGGAATACAGGGTAACAGGGTATACAGGGTAGGGTATACAGGAATACAGGGTAACAGGGTATACAGGGTAGGGTATACAGGAATACAGGGTAACAGGGTATACAGGGTAGGGTATACAGGAATACAGGGTAACAGGGTATACAGGGTAGGGTATACAGGAATACAGGGTAACAGGGTATACAGGGTAGGGTATACAGGAATACAGGGTAACAGGGTATACAGGGTAGGGTATACAGGAATACAGGGTAACAGGGTATACAGGGTAGGGTATACAGGAATACAGGGTAACAGGGTATACAGGGTAGGGTATACAGGAATACAGGGTAACAGGGTATACAGGGTAGGGTATACAGGAATACAGGGTAACAGGGTATACAGGGTAGGGTATACAGGAATACAGGGTAACAGGGTATACAGGGTAGGGTATACAGGAATACAGGGTAACAGGGTATACAGGGTAGGGTATACAGGAATACAGGGTAACAGGGTATACAGGGTAGGGTATACAGGAATACAGGGTAACAGGGTATACAGGGTAGGGTATACAGGAATACAGGGTAACAGGGTATACAGGGTAGGGTATACAGGAATACAGGGTAACAGGGTATACAGGGTAGGGTATACAGGAATACAGGGTAACAGGGTATACAGGGTAGGGTATACAGGAATACAGGGTATACAGGGTAGGGTATACAGGAATACAGGGTAACAGGGTATACAGGGTAGGGTATACAGGAATACAGGGTAACCAGTATTTCCTTACATTTCTTCGACTCGCGTTTTCAGCTTCCACTTGTGTCCTCTTGT